GCAGGGATAGTCGCAGACTGTAGTTGACAATAAGTATGATGTAAACTCAAGTTAATACCAAGAGGAAAAACAAAGAGAGAGAGAAAGAGAATACACCAGAGCCAAGAGAGCATCAAAGAGAGAACAATATAACGACTGAACAGAAACAAATCAATAACAACAGACAGTTACAGCAGACAGTATAGTTAGATAGTTACTACAATAGACTGTGCATGCATCACAACTTATATAACACCTATAACCACAAGTATGAATAAGATAACCACAAACTAAAAATACAATATCAATAATAATTAGGATAGATTGACAAGTGTACATTATAATACTATTATTTCTAACATCTAGGGTGTAGGTTAGGTTCTAGGAGTAGGCCGTAGGATACATTGTTAGGTTTAGGTCCTAGGGACTGGGTGGACCAATTTGCTGTGTGGAGGCGGACCCCATGCTCAGGGGAAATGCAGCTCTGCTAGCCTCGGGTTCAGTTTGACCACCATTTATTTGTGTTGCAAGCTTAGGGGGTGTGGCCCATACAAAAGTTACCAACCCTACCTTCTTTCTACCCTTTGGTAGTTTGTAAGGTTTATATATTTTTTTGAGCTTCATAGGATATTAAATATAGATAGCGCGACAGTGAAATCAATTATAGGAACGACCTGGGGGCTTTGCCCCAGGTCATTAAAAACTTCAGCCCAGAGTGGGATTCGAACCCGTAACCTCATGCTCTTAACTTCTGGAACTGCAGGCATTATCCACTAGACTACTGAGTCACTCCTAGGCTAGTGTTGTGTATTTATAGTTTAATTGTATTGCTACCCCGGCATTTATTCGAATGCGGCTTCTATTTAAGGATTTACGGTATGTAGGTACATGCAAACCTTTAATTAGTAGGTGTGGCTTACATATTGATATTTCTGTTCAATATTCTTCCTCATTTGACATCTTTTCTCAATAATAGCATCTTCATCATCTTCAGACTCCAAGGATACATCCAATACACTGAGGAAAGAGAGAGAGATAGAACACTTATTAATACATGTATAAACATCAATTATTGCTATACATGTACCCAGTACATACATGTACTAACATTATTTGAAAAAGAGTTTTAAAAATTTATAAAAAATCTAATTTTGATCGGAATCAGCTCAAACTTTCTACGCAACATAAGTACATGTATATGCATCAGAAAATTTAATAAAAATGGAGAATTCTTTCCTTTCATTTTTGGCAAAATTTGGCCCGTGACCCTGTACTAAAACAAGAACATAAAAATTTAAAAAAACAAGATGAAGT